TGATATTTGGAATAGGGGAAGCTTGATATAATGAAGAAGCCTGTGTTCAAACAACATAAAGTACAGATTGTCCAATCATTTTAACTTGTGATTTTGGCTGAATGAAGTTCGGTCGGTCGATCGCAAATTTAAGTAAATTAAGCAAATTTTTGATCATTGACTGTCCCATGCTATAGATAGACAGACAACTCAATAGAAAATATTGTGTAAAAGTTAGAAAAGCATATTATTTGCCATAACACGAGAACTTACTTTAAGGAATAACTGGGAAAGTTAAAAGTTTTTAATTGAACATACCACTCAACATAGACAAACCGAAACTGTTTCGCGCCATTACTGGCTCTAACTTCACGTCCATACTAACGAGAATTCCGTGCACGATTTCGCCAAAAGCGTAGCTGTGCAGATGGGGGCCTATTCAAATAGAATTTATTTACAGGTGGCGACACCGGCGACACCGTCTGCCAGTTTTTGCGTAAGCGCCGTGGGTGGCCCAGTGCCGCTGCGTAGGAAAGCGGACCAATGTTTATACATTGCTGGCGTCATTGCCGATTGGAAAAAAAGTCTATCTGTAATTGACAGCACCTCTCGCGGCAGGCTCGATGAGACAATGAATTGACGGGGACATCCGTGATTAGACTCTCAGATACATAAGAATACTCGGACGACTTAAAGTCTACTCTCCTCTTATTTGTAGTATACTAAAATATAGAATTATATTAGGAACTTTCATCTATTATGGTGCTAAAGGTTGCATGATATTGGTTGCTGCTTTTTAGTACAACCTGACTCTTGCGTTCAGCGTACGCTGGACGTCGTTCAAAATCGGACGGCTTGTTTGTTATAAGTCTTCGCGTTAAAAAACGTTTTTAACTTCGCACTCTTAATAAGATCGATTCGAAATAGATTTCTGCACAATTATTCAGCACCGTTAAACCGTAGAGGCGAGAGTTTGGCATTTTGACAAATCGTTTTGTGATTTGCACGTTTCAAATTGTCATTGTTAACTCGTTCTAAATTCGAGAAGAGAAAAAACGGCGCTAGAACGGATAGAGCTGAATACAGATTAATGAAATGCGGGAATTTAGTCGCGTCCCCGAACTGGATGGAGCATTGATTTAATAGCCACACGTTGTAAGAAAACTTAATGACCTGTAACAAGAGTATCCGCGGCGCGTCGCTAGATTAAATCAAAACTTTGAAGGACCCGTGAGTGGTCAGACCGTGTTGCTAATGACGGCGTTGAATAATGTCTATTCCGGACCATATTAAAATATCGAACAGCCTTAAAGTTAGACGAAACTTGGATTAAAAACCTAAGCATTCAACGAGGGTAGAAATAAAATATTAATTTTGCTTGGTACTCAAATTATGTGTGATAAACATGATTCTTAAGCACGCAACCGGTTACTTGGCTAATTTTAATAGGAATCAAAAGGTTATCAAATAATATTTACCTTTCTAAATTACATACATTTAGTTTCTTTGCTAAGGTAGAAAAAATATATTTGGAAAACCTATGCTTTGCTCATTATCTGTCTCTACCTCGCTCTATACGACAAAAATTTAATAAAAATAAATTAAAAGGAAAAGTGAAACTATTAACGATATAAATTATCTATCGAAGCTCACTATCACACCCTCGTTTTAACCTCACTTTTTGAACATCCTCCGTATAAGTGCGAACATAATACTAAGCACTATTTAGTAGCTGTATTGGTCTAGTTATAAAGTTCGAGTACTCAATCAGGTCCCATCCGTAATAATTTTTGTTATTTAAATTTTATACAGTTTATTAACTTATACGTTTAAAAATATATACAATGTATTACATCCAATATCTATGACATGAAAACTAACTGAATTAAACTGTTCAAGACCTGGGTTTTTATCCATGAGTAATTTTTATGATTTTTTTAAACATAAAGAACAAGGGAAACGAATACACATAAATTAGAGATTACTTATAATAATAAATATCATAACTTATTATGCAGGATAACTGGATAAAAAACTACACTAACATGTATTAAGCACACTCACAAATATAATAAATTTCCCGAAAATTCCTTTAGGATATAAGTGAAAGGCTGGAATATTCTGGAACCGCGGATCAAAAAACAATTAACCAACCACGATGAAGGTAAACTTCGAATTTCACATGTTTATAATTTCTTGAAAAGGGAAGGAACTAAGACCAAAGAGCGAAAGAGAGGTTGTTATATAATTTTCTGCATCTACCTATTCCTAGTTTCGCAGGAAATAATGTTTACCAACCAGAAGAATACCGCCATTTTTAGTAATAATGTATTTAGTGCTCTACAAATGTATCTCTTAAACAACTCTAACTTAGCGAGGCGTTTAAAAAAATGGTTGCAGCAAAATTACTTATTGAGAGGTATCAGTTCTCGTATGAAAATAAATCCATACTAATATAAATTCGAAAGTAACTTTGTCTGTCTGTTTGGCTTTCACGCCAAAACTACTGAACCGATTTAAATGAAATTTGGTACATAGAGAGTCTAGAGCCTGAGAAAGGACATGGGCTATTTTTTAATTGGAAAAAGGATTATAAAGGGTTCTTAAAGGGGTAGATATTTATTTAAGGGCTTCAACTTGAGCGACGCCGCGGGCGAAAAGCTAGTTATGTATATATTATTGATTAGGAACTCCCCTTAAGCTACATCCAATATCTTTTAGACTATACCGATCATAACATTATCAAATTAACTTAGTTCTTTTCTAAGACCCGTAACGCGTTTGACATTTAAATAATATATCGGGGTTGACTTGGTGGCCAGGAAACTACGTGTACTTTAATAAGCTTATAAAAATGGTTAACTTTTGTCTATTGGGACTAATACTAACGAGTATTTATCTCTCGTAATAAAATCTTAGACGTTTTTTTACTGTGGTAGAGTCACGGCGCGACTTCTTTTGCATGGACTGGCCTATACCATATAGATATATAAATATATATATACCATATAGAAGTTTATATAATTTAACGTTTACCCGGTCAGTCACTAGGGCCGTCAATATTCTTGATGATTATCTTTATGACTGCAATCGTGATTGTTGTGAATGTCTATGAGTCACGGTATTCAATTTTGCATTAGGTATATCACCTGATCATTTGCCTCTCTTTTCATACAAAAACATTTACTTTCGGTTACAACACTAATTCGTGTTAAATGACTGATAGGCAGAAGTAGGATAGAAGATTGAATTTAATATACAAATAATAGAGAACACACATTGACCCATTTAAAAATAACAAACAGTAAGGTAATCGGTATCACATATAATATGTTAAAGGGAACCGTTATGATACACTTTGACGAAAAGTTTGTTTTTATTTTATAATATCTATTGTAATAAGGTAGTCATATCGCTTCTGCTGCATCCAATATCAAAACAAGAACATTAAAGGCCAGCTCAAATGCGTTAACCCCACCTTTGGTCTCACCTAACTATTATGCAATGTTTGGCAGCCTGCCAATCTGGCATGAAAAAATCTATTGCACGGGTTAACGTACATATCTTCGTGAACAATGAAATTACAAACATCGTTTAGAAAACCTAATTTCTTCATAACTTCAATGTAAAATTGCACTGATATATTTAAATCTCTATGGCTTAGACCGGGATGTTAATCACCATACGCGCGTTCTCTGTCTGATTTCTTCTTAATTACTCGTTTTCGTTGTCTTTGTTTTTTAATGTGGCAAATGCGCTGGCGATTCACCTGATGTTTAGCGATAGCCGCCGTCCATTGACACTTGCAGTACTCGAAGTGTTACAGATGCGCTAATCACCTTATAATAAGGTGGGAAACGGATACCTCACTCACCAGAGAAAACGCAGAAGTAAAACACTTCCACTTCACGCCGGTCTTCTGTGAGGTCGTGGTACTTCCCCGTACCTGCGGACCTGCCATTCATGCAACAGAGAAGCCCATGCAACGGACCCATGCAACGGACCTGCCCATTCGTGCAACAAAGACTGTTGCGTGGCCCTACCACAGCTTTTTTAGCGTGTCTTTAATAATACGGATGTTTGTTAACCGAAACTAAATATAACTCAATAAATATACCCATTTTATCGAATAAAATGTAAATCGCACGAAAGTCCAATAAAATTATTATTAATTCTGTTGTGTTGAATTATGAATGTAGGAGCGTTGTAATTATATTAAAATCTCACTAGAAATTCCTGTCACTAAACAAACATGGATAGTAGACCAGCGTACAGATATTCGAGAGGCGATGCCGAACAATGTGCATCGCATACAAATTCCATCATTTGACGTATTGATACATTTTACTGGACCGTTATTGTAGAGTTTGGTTCGTTAGCAATTTATGTAGAGAAAATAGTAAGAAGATTATCCATATAATGTAACTTATTATTTTTATTTGTGTTTTGTTGATTTCATGGATAATTTGTGTTAAATAATTGAGTAGATTTTTTATAAATTTGATAGAGAACATTAAATTTAAGTAATTTATTTATACGTAACGGTAAATTGGTGTTAATAATTTAGGTACATTGTACTGCATCCACGAAACTAGGGAGTGTGAGATGATTTTTACTACTTTGTAAAATACCATTGGAAACTCTTAAACAATGTTTGTACATGATTTAAAAGTATTGCATTCAGTTCTCAAGTAGCGCATCGCTTAAATTCATTGTCAAAAATCTTGAAATTTGTCGAAGATGGCACCGGCCACGACGGCATCTCGGCGTCGAGTTTACGGTCAATTAAAACCGTAAGAGCGCGCCAATCCACGTCCGCGGGAAACCGCTGAAACCGCACAAAAACATTGTCCGCAGCGCTCGGCGGGCGACAATTAAAGCATCGCAATTAAGCCTAGGCGTGGCCGGGCGCTAATGAGAGGCGCGCAGAGGCGGCGGCGGACGTAATCAGCATTAAAGATTGGCGGGAGATGCGCTCCCTCCGGCGCCCCTCTCCCCTCATTACTTATACAAAATGCTTAAGGAGAGCGCCGTCCCTCTCTCCGCGCTAATAGCTCGCGCCCGCTCTCTATCGCCGTCCCGCTTCGGCCGCGCGTAATTAAGCTCCCCGGCTCGCCTCGCCTCGCTGGGCGGCCCCGCCCTCGCGAGGCAGGGGCGACGCGCCGACGGCGGGGGGCCCCCGGAGCCCGGGCGCGCAGTGTGCCGGCGACCGTCGACAGTGTAATGTCGCGCGCGCCGCGCCCAACAACCCGACCGCTCCGCTCAGCAAAAGTTGCCCGATTGTTCCCATCGTGAGTGCATCCCGTTGTGGCGTGCCCTGTGTTTTGACTGAATACTCTCTGTGCTGTTGTTCCTTGTTGATCAGTTGGACGTGTGCTAATAAGTGGCGGCGGGCTATGCCGCACCGTGGCTAGCGGCCTACCGCGGGCGATGCTCACAGGTTATTTATTTACATCTTTTTTTATTCCAATGCGAATCCCGTTCGAGCGTTATCCCGTTCCTTTATTGGAAGAATCGTTTGGTTTCGCACGCGGACGCTAGTGCCGAAACATTTTCTCGACTTTAACGGTTTTCTCGTTCGATGGGAGGCGCGTGAGTATTCAGATTATTTATGTTGCGAAAGTAATAAATTAAGTTTTCAACTAATTAGTATTAGGTTGGTAAGGAGTTTTTCAAGTCCTCATTATTTCATTTCGTTACAATGATTCACAAATTGCTAATTTGCAAATTTAGAAATTTCAAATTTGTGTCCTTATTAAACATAACATACTTAAATTTAAAGTTTTTGTTGTTCGTATCTGTAGTTAGTATCACAGTTAGTAAAAATATTACATATGGTAAAATGCAGGGAAATGTATTTAACTTTGTTTAAATTGAGAGAATTTTAAAAATTAAATTAAAACGTTATAAGAAAATAAGGGCGATTAGAGTTAAAGAAATATGAAAAAACTTTGTGAAACATGTTTGATATAAAGTATGCAAATGAAAAGCATGCAGATACGATCCTAGTTTAGTTAGATCCCAGTTCAATAGTTGAGTTGAACAAAATAAAAATCAATTAAATTATTTATGGATTATTTTTTGCACTCATAAATAACTGAAAATAAGCATTAAGATATTAATCAGTGTCAAGAAGATATGTAGATATTTATTTTTTGTGTTCATATTAATTTCAATACATACTTGACACTTTCCGGAAGATTTTAATTATTATTATTTTTAGTTCGATATTTCGGTTCAATATACACATAATTCTCATAGTAAACTAGTAAACGAAATCTAGAAAAATTTATTGTATTGTCTTTTTCTGATCAGTGCTTCCAATTTCCACTTTAGAAAATCCAGTTCGAAGTTACATAAACATCATATGTCTAAAGGCAATTTATTGATAACTAATTGAACAAATTGTAAATTGTAAGTCACATTGAATAAGTCTATATAACCGATGTACGACGTATTTTTTTCATATATACTAGTACATTGTTTTGATTGCCGTGTGATCTGACGCAAAAGCGAAATAAATCCCATTGGAATTGAAATTTACTTCGATAATTTGTCAACGTCTCTTTAGTTCATCTTTTATTTCTCTATTTGTACAAATATAATATATCATAACGAAAAAGAGAGGGATGTACGTATATCGAGTCCCGATATTTTTCTGAAAGTCTGATGAGTGGATGATATAGAAAGATTAATCATCTATTTTATGTAACTCTTCATAAAGTGAAACAAAATGTTACTTCGTTAATAATTCAGAACTTGTACATTTGTTTTCAAAAAACCATTAGTGGGGTCCATATTTTCCGTCTTTTTTGATTAAATGAATATAGACGTATCAGTACTTTAGTTAGTCCTTTGTTTAAGGAGATGGTTATATTATAATGTATTTGCAATATTTAAAAAATTTTGCATTTCCCTCTCTGCCCTATTAATGTGCGAATATAAAAATGAAACATTGTTAAGTACAGGACCTCTTTTGAAAGCATAGATCTTGTTTGCAATTTTTTTCAGTAGTAAACGGATCCGTTCACTAAACGTCATGAACGGATTAATAAGAAAAGGATTTACTTTTATACATTTCTAGACTAAATGTGCATAATATTACAAAATACAAGTATGGAGACACTGTCATTTTAATTAATGAAATGTGTAAACACATTTCTAATTCATATATTCATATATTCCTATTACTGGATAGCATTTTTCTTCTTTTTATTTCAACAAATAATTTATATTCAAGTATGATTTAATACAACAACGGAACAAAAGAAAGTATAAGCTGACTCCATTCGTTAATTAGTCCACACAATTATAATATCAGACGAGTTAACGATCTAATCTAATCGGATCACTAGATTCTTAAATTGATAACTGAATCATTAATGCACGACTAATTGTAAATAGTTTATTCGTGGAATTCTAGATTTCCATTACATTGGCAATATAAAGGGGAATCCGAAGCGTCAGTTCCGTATTGACATCGTCGAAAGCGAGGCATGACGCGCGGGGGCAGCCATCTTGGGCGCGAGATTTTTTCGCGCGTCCGCGGCCAACATTCGGGACAGATGAGGCCGTTAATCAAAATGACCTTAGATCTGTATCGTTCGCAAACAGTGTTCAATTTATTACGAATGGGAGCTGATAATTGATATCGGTGCGTAGGCGCAAGAGGCGGCCGCGGACGGCGTAACAGCGGCGCCTCCGACGGTGTAGAAATTGATTCGTTTTGCATTTTGTTTTTGTTACGAATAGAGAGATCTATCATCGAGATTTATGCCTGGAATCGTTTCCATTTTGCATATTTATTCTGTGCTAGAAGTATATTAGATATGTTTGGTTTTAAAAATACTTTCGATACTGTGTTATGCTAACAGAGATCCATTTAAAATGTTTTTGAAATACCCGTTTTTTCTTGCAGCCTATATCAGCAGATCTATATCTATATGATATACCTCAATCAATTTAGCTTTCAATGAAACAAGTAAGACGGACTTTTCGATCCGTTATCCCTTAAAAGCAATGATTCAAAAAATGCAAATTATTAGCCATCGAACATCTTAGAAAGCCGTCCCAAATAAATGAGTTCTATAAAAAACTTGGAACATTAAAAAAACAAGCATTGGATCAATTAAAATGAAATATGTCTTATTAATAATTTATATAATTCGTCGTTCAATTTTTCGACGATGACTGTCATTGTTCATCCAGGGTCTCCCAGGATAGGTTTCTGAAACAAATGGGTTGCGCCTTTTCTCGTAATAATCTAGGACCTCGTTGCAATCCTCATCTTTTCCACGTACCGTTGTCTTTTGTTACAAACGCATAGTAGGTATATGCACTAAAACCACAATATTCTTGCAAGTAATAGTCTCAATTGCTTATTATTGTTATATTAGACAATCTTGAATTGTATGTATGTATATTGTCGAATGTATTTTTAACAACATTTAGCATTATTCATTTCTTTGCGTTTTTAGCAAAAATTTATTAATATATCTATAACGTTTATTCCTTAATTGAATGATTCCATTTCCAATTGAATGAACAAGTTTGCATGGAGACCATAAAAATTATTTTTTATTGTTTCCATGCAAACAAATGTTATCAAATATGTATAAGATTACAACAAATTCCTAATTAATTTATCAAATTTCTTGGATAGTCTGTCCCAAATTTCAGTACTTTCTTGATGTATTTTCAATTCTAATTTCGCTGTTAGTTACTAGTTCGGTGGAAAAAGCGCCTATTAAATTCATTTATATCTTTTAGATTTCCTCCTTCTAAAGCTTCTATTAGTAGCGCCATCTATTGGGCGATAGTTGAACCGCCCTATCGTTCTGGGAACGCGCGCTTCTCAAACACTCGTAGATAGTGTGATGACAGCTTGTTGAGATGGTTTCTTGATACGGTGATAACGACTTCTGATATAAAGTACCCATTGATATAAATAGTGTGGGAAAGCGAAGTTTTATTTACAAAGTAATTAAGATTTTACCAGGTTTTTTCGATAAATATCTAAGTAAATATATTTTATTTATCTAGAAAAATCTATTATAAAAAAATGTATAAAATATATAAATTCTTACAAATATGTATTTCACGAGCCGTGATAGCTCAGTGGCCGGGCGCTCGCCTTTAATTCAATATACTCGAGCAAACTGAGTTCGATCCCAGATGCCGGCACCTATATTTTTTCTTTCTTTATTGTATATAAAACATAAAACAAAAATAGAATAAAATAATAATAGTATGTAGGGAGGAAAGCTTCACCCTAAAAAGAGTTTATTTCTAGCACAACCTTAAACTCAGGAATTAATAATAAAGATGACTATATATTGGTTTATACATATTATAAATGTTACTGAAGTAGTAGTACAAAGGTTAATGTTCACATGAAGTATGAAGTTTATATATACTAACATACATAAAATATAAATCTAATAACATAATATATAAACATACAGACGAACATTTATGGAACGTTTTTAGTAGATAAGTAAGTGACTCTTGACTCTTCTAAAACACCTAGGGAAGAACGAGCACGGATGTCATGTGGTGTGTGGTTAGTTTCATAACTTGGCTTTTGCAGTAAATGTTGCATCATACTTTTTGTTAATTGTAGAGATTAAATAGTCCGGCATTGTACAGTGGTAGAGCCACGAACAAGTTTTCACTGTTGCACGAATGGGCAGGTCCGTCCTTGCAATTACCACAACCTCACAGAAGACCGGCGTAAAGTAGAAGTGTTACACTTCTACGTTTCGTCTGGTAAGTGAGGTAGCCGGGGCCATCTTTATTTAAATGTCGCAACGCATTTGCCATCCTACCGGTGTTGCAAATGTCCATGGGCGGCGGTTATTACTTAACATCAGGTTAACGGCCAGCTCGTTTGCCACTTTTTCACATTAAAAAAAAATAATTATCCATTAAAGAAACTCATTTTCTCAACTCGGGTCTGTCGAATAAATATAATTTCGTACAATCCGTGCCTAGAAACGCGTGATACGCACTTGAAATCGACGTAAGATTTCGCTATTTTATCTACGGAAGGCCGAAGAATCCACAAAGCGCGTGTCGCGACGGAACATTGACGTGTGCAAATAAGTAATTTGAACTATCTCATTGATAATGCTGTCAAGTTAGCGACTTCGCGACGGCAACGCCGCATCGCCTACTTACATAGAATTAAAGCTGGCACCAACTCCGGCGTTTAGCATTCGAGCAATTCCGAGATATTCAGACATTTCTTAGGCGTTCTGAGCGGTCGGATAAGTGTACGCTTGAATTCCTGAAGCGGTTCAAGCTAATGTATCGAATGGGAGACGGAAGTGTCTCCTGCGAATGCCAATGATTCTATTACAGTAAGAATTTTTTATGCAATTTTGACAATTTAAAAAATGAGTTACAGAGAAAATGATGAGAATTAACAGTAAGAGTTCAGTACTAGAAGTGACAGAAGAAGAAGAAGAAATTTGCACGTCAGATTATTTCGGGACCACAAATACCGGAACGTCATCTAGTCTTTACAAGGTAGACTGAGTGCTGGCGTATCGATTAACGAGTTCAGTGCCACTACGTATAAATGATAAACTTGTCGTCGTACACTCAGCAGATGTTTTGTAACACATATCTAACCAGTCTATTACACGCATCTAAAATTCTAGTAAATGTATGTTGAAACTCAGAAAATATATTCAACTTGCATATATCAAAAATCGAGCAAATATAAAAACTTTACGAATGCAGGATTATTCAACTGAATTTTACAAATGTTAAAATATAATAATAATTAACCTTCTTTATTCCCACCAACGCCTTCTCTTCAAATTTCTTATAAGAAATTTAAACTTATCCGAAAAAATTTTGATTTACATAACCATCTTTTGTTATTACAATATTAGTGACATTTTTATTTGGCGCTTAAATCTATGATGCCATTCTGTTGATCTACATTACTCTGTCTTTCATTGATAAAATAATATTAATTGTTGATCAATTAAATCGTAAAATTATATTCTTTCAATCCTAGCTCTAAACATATATTATATTATTCGTGGACTAGGAATAGTTACGAACAAAACTAAGGGGAGTATCTATCGTAAGACGCAATAATCAAACTTGAAAATCTAAAAAGTGTACTCTAAAGTATTAACGTAATAAAAGTAAATGATAATAATCTCACTATAACATTAATTACCGATACAATTAAATGAATTTGGTACTCTCTTAGCATAAATGTGAATCACTAATTATTTTTAGTTTGAATTCCATCAGAAGCATTTCAAGCAATCTCAAGAAATTTTGAGGCTTTTTATAGCAATTTACAAATATTACAATAACTAAAGCTTCATGTCTGTATTATAATTCGTTTTTAACAAACTATATATGTTTATTTTCATGCATATAAGAACTGACATCTACATATGCGGGCGATTGACACAGAAGCCATTGTGAATTTACCTGATGTGATTACGATGGATAGAGGAAATGAGTGAATGAATGAATGAGTGATCATTTAGTCGCTCAATAATTTACAATCATTCAATAAATGCCAGTGGGTTTTTCAAATCCGACCGCGTAGAGAACCATAAATTTCCGCTCCATGCCGCGTCATTGCCCGTACACAGTCGAAGCCTCGAAGCCTTTAAACAAATGTCAACAAACATGGCCGCATCAAATCAATTACTGAAATTCGGACATCGCATTCGAGAAACTTTGTTACGAAATAATAGATTCGTAATCACAATGCATTATGCAACAGTCATTCAAGACGAAAGTATTTTCCTGTCTCATTGTAGCAATTAAATGATATTTTTTAGTTCATCATATTATATTTGTTGGGAAATTTAGCGGTTAGCTCGCTTGTATAACCGCGTACCGATTGAATTCTCAATAGCGAGAATTCGTTGCGCGTAAAAACACCAACAGACCGTTTGACACAACGCTCGTCCGCTATCCGTATTGTGGCGGCACGGCGCGTCGACGCGTGTACGTCTTCTTTCCCGTTCGGCGCGATTTGTCCGCGACGACGTCAATGGCATCGGCGTTTTCGTACGCGCGTATATGGCGATGATAATTTGTTTCCGGTGCGCGGCGCGTGCTCGGTACACGGCGGACTATTACTATCATCGCTTTGGCACGATTTGCATATGAAATATTTCGTCGGGCCGCCGCCTCCGGGACGCACAATGCGCGCTACGGCCGAGATTTTAATACGCGACTATATCGAATTTCCCCGGTGTATTTTTGTGAGCCGGCTCGTGCCGAGAGCCCCTTTTGTTAACGTGAAAGATCTGGATCGTTATTGGGATCACGCGTACGCTGAGCGGGCGTGCGTCTTGTGTAAGAAATTATTAAACGCAACGCTCAAAAGCTGTTCTAACGGAACGGGTCACGACGTTCATGTACGTTTTGTACATGTTTATTACTATTACAAGTCTCTTATTTATATACTTGATAGATGTAATACGGTGTGATTATTGAAAAAGTACCCTATATTACTTCATAGATGCAGATATGCTGAATACACATAAATATTTTTTTTTATAGTTATTTCGAAAATGAGCAGATTGTGTTCCACGCTGAGCACATAATCAATAAGCTCTTATAATCGCATTAAACTAATTTCATTGGTGCCGCCACACGTACTTGAAACAATTTGCAGCAGTTTAGGCAAGCACCCTAAGACAGAACTAACGCGGCTCTACACAATTTTAACTCATTACTAATTAAATTACTTATTAATTATATTTAAAAAGTGTCAATTTTTTTTTTTTTTTCATTTATTTCGGTTTGGATTTAATCCTATTCTGCACAGAGAAAGTTTCCTCGAATAGCGTCCCGCAATGAGCAGCTGAAATCCGCTAATTAAAACAACGCGCACAACTCGCGGTGTGACGTAAACGCGGCCGGTGGATGCTTTTGTTTTATTGAATAATTGCCCAGAGGTGTTTCGGACGAGACGGACTGGTTCCCTCCAAGGCCAGACGTCGAACTTGCCGCGGACCGCCGCGCCGCCCCTATTCCGTGACCACCGCTCGATACCAGTCGGCCGATCGCGATTTCGACCATCGCAAATCGATATAACTCCGGCTCGGGCTTACCGACGGTGAGCCACGCTGTCTGAGATTAAAATAACTGTATGACATCTGAATGCGAATCATTAAATACAGTATTTGACTTTCAATTTGTCTATTATACATATGTTTAAATAACTTCATAGAAAATGAAGTCGCAATATTCGTAAATGACCATCAATATAGATAGATAGATTTTATGACAGCCGGAATATTAACTCATTTAACACAGTCCTCTGACATAAGCTCTTAAACCTTTCACGAATTCGAATCATCCCCGACAGTTTCGATAATAACCGTTCGGCGCCGAAAAACGTCGGAGCTCAGGCGCGATCAGGCACGAAGCCTCGTGGCGTGTCGCGCTGACATCTCGCGACTTTTGACGCCTCCGAAAAGTACGCCATTTTCTTTTTTCCCAGCGAGAACGCACCGTCGACGCGGCTGCTTACAAAAACCGTTCAGCGAATAAGGCACTCCCAAAGATATATGGTATAATTATTCGCCTAAGCTCAATACATAACTGCATTTATGAAAATTAATAAATTTACTTAAGCCCGATAGTGTTATGCCATTTATTAATATGGCGCAAATAAATGACTTTTACCTACGTACGAATTAATAATGAATAGAAGATAAGACACGCTATAATCCGTTGTATATTGCTCACCTATCTATACTGATAATAAAATTTTGACTATGTCGGAGTACTCATTGGCCTGTCATGTTGGTTTATGCTTAGTTCATAACATCGATTTCAATATCTGCCATCAATTTTTTTCTACATACATTTAATGGAAAGCTTAATGTATTTAGACATTCATTGTGATGTACAAAATGTATATATTAATTTGTTTTAGGGGTGTCTCTTATGACGTCATTAATAAAATTAACTTTTAAGTTTAAAATTATGACGAAGTATGTAACAATTTCTAAATTATATTGTATATCTAATTTGTTGGTTGTTAAAGAGCGTTCACTATGACAACATAACATGTCATAGTGAACGCTATTTTACAACCGTGTATTAAACTTTCTGGGTCCCATTTTTCGTCTGAAACGGATTTCAAAATGCCCCTTTTTGTGTTCTCTTTTACTCTTTTATTTGAAATGCTATCCTATTATCGCTAAAGCTTTACAGTTTAATTTCAAAGTCTATTGTTTGCAAGGCATAAAAATGTTCCTCATACAAACTGGACAATCATAAACCAGTCATATTAAATACTTAAATACTTTTGTTAGTGTTTTTATATACAACGTGAAAATGGTCATCTTATTTTATCGCCGCTGGCTGTTGCCGCAATGGTGGTCAACCTTAAAGAGCATAAGTTCATCTACCCCATCAGATAAAATTCCTTCTTCCTCGTATCACTCTTAAAAGAGCGGTCGCATAGTGTTATTTTATATAAGTACTAGCGGACCGGATAGAAGTTCTCCTGTACACACGTCTTAAATTAGAAAATTTTCAAATTCATTGAATAACTTTGTGAATGAAACTAATTTTACGGATTTATCGCGTTTATTTTTAATTTTAATTCCCGACGTTTAAAAAAAAATAAACGCGATAAATCCGTAAAATTAGTTTCATTTATAATGTGTAATCGCGTAAATACAAGAAATTATAACTTTGTGAATCTAAACCATTCTCGAATCCACCTGAACACACAAAAAATTTCATTAAAATCGGTCCAGCCGTTTATAGGAAGAGTTCAGTGACAAACACACGCACAGAAGTATATATAAAGATACATAGCACATGTATAAATACTTCTACTCGACGACGGCCTGCTATGAGTCCGGGGTACCCGGATGAACCCATTCAGGCAACAGTAAAAGCCACGTGGCACACAATCAAACAGACACGCAGTAAAACACGTAGTGTTCATTCCCACCCGTTGTATTTAACCATTCCCAACTGCGGACTGCGTTAGCCGTTGTCCGTTTATCGTTTCGGCTCGTATCGATTATTTAATAGCAAATATTGCCGATAACGTTTTTGGGGAAGTTATCGACTATCACTAATTATTGGCAGATAACACGGGTTATACTGCACTGGAGTGCCTTGACAATATAAGCACTTAGGTAATCTAAAATGACAAGTGGTCGCGCATTTCTTGGCCAATTGCTCGGTTGCCGCGTTTGCTCCTTCGTCATCTTTACTCTGGCTTTATCCCACCTAGGTGGGGTGGGTACAATATTTGAATCATCTCGTGGCTATGGTATGAGCGAGTTTCTTTACGATTTTTTTTTTAATGTGAAAAGGTAGCAAACGAGCTGGCGGTTCACCTGATGTTAAGTGATAACATAGGGTTGCAGATGCGTTGCTACCTTTTAATAAAGTGGGTCCCGGATACCTCACTCCCAGACGAAACGCAGAAGTATGATAATACTTCCACTTCACGCCGGTCTTCTGTGAGGTCGTGGTACTTCCCCGGACGGACCTTCCAACTTCCGACCTCAACCATTCTTGGGAACTAACGTCCAGATAAGTTACAATTATCTGTCACACAAATATTTATCCCGTTCGGGAATTTAATTCACGACCTTCGGCGCTGAAGCCAATAGTTTAGCAACTGCACCACCGACTCATCGGTTGTAGCTTTTGCATTGGAACAAAAAACAATTCCAAATTTTTATTGACGACAAACAAAACCGACTGCAAATATCTCGCTCCGTATTCATTTTATAATTGATTTTCTGGAGTTCCCTAAGTATCTCCGGACCCCAAGATCCAATACCTGCCAATAAAATTAATATGGGACCATGGGAAGCACCAGCTTTCAATTATTAAAATATGTAGAAAAAGTGCGAAAAGATTGTCGCCGCTGTGGGAATCGAACCCACGTCGGCGACAATCTTTTCGCACTTTTTCTACATATTTTAATGTTCAATCTTAAGTGCAAAGATTAGCACTATAAACAATTTAAATTACCAGCTTTCAAATTAAAAGAGATTCATCAAAATTGGTTCAGTCAGTTCATTCAGTAGAAACAGACATACGAAACAAACGAACATAGAAACAAACAGTCTGAAGGAACAAACATAAAAAAATACAGTCGAATTGTGAACCACCTCTTTTTTTGGAGTCGGTTGAATGAATTTGACCCAGTAGCTACGAAATAATTTTACCTATCCAAACGTTCCAATTACGGCAATCTGCGCGGTGTAAAGCAACTCCCTAAAGCCAACGAAAGTATACTAATTTTAACGACATTCAGACTAACATTACAGTAGGTAGATACATCTCAATCATTAAAAGAAGTTTATAGATATAAATTGTTATGATCTTGGTAGTTAATATGTAATGGCGGTCTACGTTTAAACACTAAATTTATTGTCGTACTAAATTTATTTTACTTATTCATTTACTACTTAGCCATTTCATTTTTAAATCGCTGAAGAAAAAGAATATCATGCTTAATCTAAATAAATAAAGAAAAATAGATAGAGAGATTTAGCAAGATGTAATATATAAGTTTCTTATTTGATAACACTTTAACTTTACCGGTGGTAGAGCCACGCAACAGCCTCGGCTGTTGCACGAATGGGCAGGCTCGTCCGGGTAAGTACCACGACCTCACAGAAGATCGGCGTAAAGTGGAAGTATGACAAATACTTTCGCGTTTCGTCTGGTGAGTGAGGTAGCCGGAGCCCAATTTCCAAAAAGGTTGTCAACGCATCTGCAAATCCTCGGGTGTAGCAGATGTCCATGGGCGGCGGTATTCATTTAACATCGGGTGAACCGCCTGCTCGTTTGGCAACTTTTCTCATAAAAAATAATTAGATATTGTATGTTCGAGTACCTACATATATTTCAACACGGCCTTGAATATGGACAGTGTATCCAAGCGGCATTTTTCACTAGTGATGACTACTATTGATGCAGTGGGACTGACTTCTATGAATATTGGGCGCAAATGGAGAGCTTACTTTGTAAAAATAAATAATTATATATGAACCTTCTTTGATGTATTAAATATAACTTTTAAAGATACAAAAGCCCTATTGCTGATCATTGTAAAATACCTTATAAGTTTAGAAACAAGCTACATTAATTATTTATTAATTTATAAATTGTGTTGACGCCAGATGTAATGAAGCTATTTCGATGGAATTTAAGTAATAAAATATACCGGTAAATGGAAACTCAAGTGCGTCTGCTCATCCCTGTCTTATTATCCAGTTTAAAGTCAACAGGGTTACCTATTTAAGCATGTTCGCATGTGTGCTTGCCGACGTATATACACGCCATCGAGTTGTCCGCGTGCGCGTGCATTGTGCAAGGCAAAGTAGAGCCTTATCTCTCGATTGTGCGTGAATAATTTTATTATGCATGCGAAGTGTCACTTTAATTAAGTTTTGTTTGGCGCAGATGCAGTCCACTTTTGTGACGCTCATTATAAATTGGCTCCCGCTGCACTGCAGCGCGGGAATAACTACGTGCGTAACTATGTAGCGTAATGCATACACGGCCCATTTATATGTCAATTTCGATCACTTTAACTATACCTCTGATGGAATATGTTTATTAGAAGGGGCTAACGCGCATTAATCGAAGCGCGCGCACGACAAAAACTTTTATTGTGCACAGAGAATTTCATATGCGAAGCCCTTTTGTTTCTGTTATTTTTTTCTAGTCAGAAAACAGCTGATTAGACTTTTCTTAGATGTTGGGGAAGGAAAAAATTTGAAACTAAATTGACGCTCTCTTATAATTAAATTACACCTGATCTTATCGTGTAATTATTGAGACGTATCAAAGGATGTCAAAAGCATTAAAAGAAAAAGGAGATATAGAAATAAAATCATAGCATAATCTGCTAGAATTTTAGATTAACCTTGAAGAAGTTTAAGTAATAGGATAATTTTAATTTGTAACATGAAGTCACAATCTCTTATCAAATTTACAATCAAGAATCAGGCAGTAAGAGTTTTAGTTACGGCTAATACAGTGATCCACAAAAGTTATTAAGAAACCAAAATGAATACCGTATATCTTTTACTATACAATGCGGGGATGACAATAAATAAATAACCGAAATAGATTTAATTTATATCTAGATTAAATGAGGTACCCTATCTTTATATCACACGTACAAAGCGAGAATATTAATTAACGCACTGACCACTGCGTTAATATTCTTCTTGTCTTCTAATTCTTTTAATTCCTTATATTAGTTGTGTATAAGACTACGTAAGAATGACGATGTTAATGTGACGGTTTTTCCTTAATAAATTGATTACTTTTACGACACATTTTATTATGTTATGAGAGATATACTAATTATTTAATCAGTACATTGCTTGCGACACATATCCTCCAATAAATCGATTTATTTTCTTATATACCTGTTTTGATAATTAATACGACTGGCAATTAAAAAAGTTAAGACCCATAATTACGAGTAATTGTAAATCATCGGATCAGCGCTGCGGCGGCATTTTCTTGACTCGTATTATTTTATCTTAGTTTATGATTTAATTATAGGTTAATATTGGGCCTTGTTACTCCGTATCTGAGGTGTAAAATTCAATACGGTTTTATCTTTAAGCAATAAATTGATGTAAAGCAGGTCGTGCATAAACAACTGGTTAAAAGAATTTTTATATGCATAGTACAGCCGAGATGTCACCTTTTTCTTCTATACATTCTACTGATTCCCTTCTTGGAGGTAACAGCCTATACATGTCGCAATACTGGGCAAAGGCCTCGTCCATACAGAGGTTATCAGGGCATAATCAACCACGAGGCCCCACTGCGGATTGGCGGACTTCACATATCTTCTAAAAATATTTTTTTGTTATTATTTCGAAAATATGTAAGTTTCCTCACAATGTTTTCCTTCACCGCGAAGCATGTGATAAGTCAGCACTTAAAGTTAAAACTTCATTGGTGCGGGCACCGGGGATCGAACTCAGGTTGCTCGAGTATATTGAATTAAAGGCGAGCACCCGAACTCTGAGCTATCACGGCTCACTGAACTATCACGGCCCTTCTTTGAAGTCAACATTAAATAGAAATTTCTACTTTGGGTTTGAAAATAAGTTATCACGCAAGTTTCTAAGTAGACGATCACATACATAAATAAAGTGCAACGTTTGATAAAGTTAATAAATAATTAAAGCATAAGTGAAAATTAACTTAAAAATTAAAAGTAAATGTTAACTTTTCTTATTTATTTATTTATTTATTTATTTATTCGGGAAAACAACAGCATATCATATAATAGTTCTTCCAGATTATCACTACATTATTATCTACATTACAATTTTGTGTCTTCTCTAATCACGAAGCTAATAATAAATAAACAATGGCATAAAGGCAGATAATGAACCGGTACATAATTTTATATTAGCTTCGAATATAATAACTTGCAATATTACCTACTATTCGTACTCGTACTTAGGAAATGTTCTATTGAAATTTTGCATTTATTTATAATTTTGCTTATATAAAATGTAATATACAACCACCGTTATATATTCTTATTAGCTGTATTACGTGTGGAGATATGTAATACAATAATTTAATGATTCCCCGTATTCCTTAAGTGAAGATTTATGAAGCGGTAGAAGTATCTTAAATATCTATTAAGAATCGAATATAAATAAAATCCGCATCACCGTTGCCTTTTTGAAATACTTAATGCAATCCCTAAAACAGATTGCATATTTATGTAAACTCGACCGCCACGAGCTAAGCGAGTTAAAAGCTAACCCTCACGGCCCACTCCATTGTTCGGGGTAGGCGAAAGCAACAAAAATCCGCCTCACAACAATGGCACCCTCGGGCGCGACAGCCACGAGAGGTATGCACGATAATTATTTTAGAAATTGTACCGCCTTAAACTCTCGAAACAGGTGGGTGAACATTTCGAGCTTAAAAACGAGACGCGAATATGATTTACTCGGTAAAACCGGATGCTGTGAGCGAGACGATGGGGTTTATGAAATTATTTTCGGTGAATCTCGGGTCGGCTTATATCGCAGGTGGCAAACGGAAAACGGCTAACCTGATATCGAGTGATTATCGCTGCCCATGAGTAGCTACAGCACCCGCGACATTGTAGTGTATTGCCAACGTTTCAGTAGGTAGTCCTGGTACCTCCCTCATCGAATGAATCGCGAAGGTCAAAATACTTTTATTTCATGCAGTCATGGTAATTCCGGGACAGATCAGCCTTTCTGTTTATTACGGGCTAGTGCAACAAGGTCACCTTTGGACTAACGCAATCAAGGAGAGGTTAAAGTCCAAAGTAACCTAAAATTTGGGGGGAAACCGTTTCACGATCGATCCGCGTTAATTCAGAGCCACGAAGACCACAGCTCCTACAGAGCGACAACAGAGCGTGGCGGTTAAACGCATTTTAATAACATTTTCGGAAGGAGCCCACCTCGGTAATTACTGTTTACACCGCCGCCGCTCGCCGGGGCACAATTAAGCGTGCTTTTTTGGGGAATGTGCGACAATCACGTTTTGATTACGGTCGTAAAAACTTCGACTTGCGCCAGCTCTGTCACTAAATAACGATTAACCATTGTCTACATTAAGATGTCGGCTCCTCCGAGCGCGTCTATCCAGGGCAGCAGCGTAATCGCTCATAGCACGATTCTCAAGACAAAAACACCGCGCACCGTTCTATTTGTACCTCGCAGCGGATAAATAACATAAAAGGCCGCTCCTACCAACGTAGCTATTATACGTTTGTAAAACGATTCCGTTCCCCGTAAAATTTGGGCGTTGCGTAATAGACGTTGAAAAACTATCTTACCTCGCCTCACGGAATGCGCAACGCAGATGGTATCGTGTAAACTACACTGCGCATTAATTGCCATCGTCCGTGGTCATTGTTAAGATGACATTTAATTTTCGTTGATTTTATTCAAACGCGTGTGGCGTTTTCACAAAATAGCTCTTATGCCGTGGCAATAAAACCCAATTTCGAACGGGAGAATAAACTCAAGGTTTTTTAATTAATGCCATACATCGTCGAGAGATTAATTAACACTGTCCCTGCGACACTTTACTCTCTGTTAATCTAACAACAAATAATCCGATACACAAATCGGGCTTCGAAACCTGTTCTGTATACGAAACTGGGAAGACAGACGTCACATAAGGCCGTGAATTATGCAATACAGATTTATAGTGATTCAAATTTTAATAGGTGGTATCAATGACGGCTTGATCATAACATTATCAGAGATAGATTTATAGTTTGTAATGAAAATGAATTAGACACAAAACGTTTTGATTTAGTGGATTGAAATTCTAATCCCGCATTAGAGGTCGTTTCGTGCACATCAAATTTAACCAGCCAGTTCCGTTGGATCCTACTGGATTCGTACGAAACGTTACAAGAATGAGTGTCTAAGGATGTGCGTATTTTTATACATGTGTGTTCATATTTTATCGATACTTATTAAAGACCGGCTACCACTCGCGTCGCGAGGTGAGAACGATGGCGCCCCCTGCTGGGCGTTCAGAGAGACGGGAACAAACCGAACGGAATTCGAAATGAAGTTATGGCCTTACCACACTTTTTTACCTTATTTTATGCTTTATCATTTTACCTCACATAATACCTCGGTCGCGTTCGCTCTTTTATTATGGTTAAAGCAAAACGCGTTACAAGTTTAAACGCGTCGAGCTGAGCGAGCGTGGAAAAAAATTAAATCTCACAATATGTTTGGATTGCATTATTCCGTTAATTACAAGTAGCCCGACAAACATGTTGGCGGACACCTCGCGCCATTAGCCCGCGTCGGACAAATATCGAGTGTCAGTGTTTGCAATGTCAGTGTAAATATCGAGAACGGTGTTTGCGTTACGCATCACTAGCGCTTGTTTGCCGGGGCCCGGTCGTGTGGTACGGGTGCAGGCGTAAAGGGTTGCCCACTTGACGACGTCGTGTCGATAAATATCCACGTTTACCTTGTTACGTTAACAAATACCGTCGAGTGTCGACCGCGGGCTCGTTCCGCTCGGCCCTTGTTCGCTGTGCAGTTTCTGAATTACCCTTCATTAAGGATTCGCATTCCTCATATCTTTCGCGGGCATCTTTATGTTTTCGTTGTCGGTGTAGGCACGTTTTTTAATTTTTGCGTTCATATAGGTAATATGTTGAAACATCTATAATTTTCAGCAATCAACTCATTGTTTATGTCGATGGCACATAAATTTTCAATATTTCAACATTAGATGTCGACCAGCATGCATAAAAAATGAGATAATTGTTTCCGAAACCGAGCGTGTCCTATGTTTTATGCAATAACTCAGATAAAATTGTATTAAGTATTATGTCACTTGCCTAATAGATATAATATTCAAATGGGAATCGTGTTTGCCTTTAATGTGCTTAATCAATCATAAGGCACGATTAATTACAAAGATACGCGCGTCCGTCCGCCGCTTTGATTGCTCGACTGTTCGAGTGTGGTAAAGATATAAATAACGAGCTCCATTGTCCACTTTTAAGTAATCGAAAGTTCAAGGCCCCATAATGAGATGAATATTAATTAGACGTGTAGAAATATCGCGCGGCTTAATTCGAACGGAATTACCATCGAGGCGATAACGTTGGACATTGCGAAACGCCATTTGAATAAAGCCATGGATGGGGCCGCGAGTGAAGCGTATGTTAATCGTCACTGGAACCACTTAGAGGTGTGGCGGATGGGCATTTAAGACGAGTGCATAAATCAATGCTCAATCGATAATATTGTCCCCGCGTATTTTAGCCGTGTTTGTACACCAATTAGACGCGTTAATGCCGTTTCCGCAGTATAATACATTCGAGTGGTAATTTTTCTAATTCGACTCGTATTAATCTCGACATCGGCCCGTGATAATGTACAACCAGGAAACGAAATTCCAATTAAACGTGAAACTATAAAAGTTCGGCGTAAATCACGCGATTAGCGGAGTGGACGGACTTTTCTAATTAATACCTCCGAGGCCGGGCAACGTAGTCAAATATAATAACTCACATAAAGCCGCCATAATGTGGTGGAAAATTAATTAATGTTTCGATAGAAATCACTATGGGCGCATCTTTTATAAGGCAGAATGTGCCTAGTAACGGTCCGAGATGGAGGCGCCTACCGGTTTTACACGGCGATGGAGCGCTCATTACTTGAACCGTCATTTGTCGAAACTCGTCTACAAGAAGTTTGTATCATCGGGCCATTCTCTTGCCGGGCGCCGTTGTGCCGTTTTTGTCGCGCCCTTTGATTTAAGCATTTATTTCTTTAATGGTAGGACTCAATATTCATTAGCACCACAAATTCACAAAGCATTAGTGGCAATCTCTTTGTTAGTTTCGTTACATTGAGACAATAACTAACGAATACTCTCCAATGTTGTGTATCATATGGATGGACATTAATGTTATTTATTGCAGTGTAAACACGTAACAAAGTTTTGTGATACACTTATTAAAAAAATGTTAAAAAATTCATCATTAAATACTGAGATTGCTACTGTACGTGCATATTCATATTAGGAAATAAATGGTTTGAATTTTGAAGTATAGGTAACTTCGACCACGCGTTCAACAGTCCTGCAAAAATTGTGAAAGCAAAATTTTTGCGCATACACCGACAATGAAAATGCGACATGATGAAGTTAGTTGCGAAGAGACCAACGTCGACTAACTTCACGGTATTACCATGGTGACCAATAACAAATTTTAAACATTTACCTATAATTTTAAGTTATTTAATTAAACCGTAATCAATTACATTCACCTTTCTTCTTCACAAACACATCGCTTGTCATAAGTGACAAGGAATTTGCTTTCGAAGGTATTCCACTGCTATTTTCTATGCCATGTTAAACTATGTTATGCTCAATGATCAGATTCATTTCGATCGCCCGCACTCGCCACCGGTTTTACGCGCAAACATTCACGTGGGCAAGAATCCGAGTTCTATCGCATTTTTATGCCCCAACACGACGACTGATACAAATAAATTAGCCGACACTGAATTAAATGTCCGATTTATAATCGAAAACATCAATAATTGTCTTTGTTTAACATTCCTGTGTTATTTATGTACGTAGAACAATCTACGTCATTTTAGATGCGTACTGATGCATCACTGGTGATTATTCGGAACAGTTTCAAAAAATGTTGCCAATATATTTTGTATTTTCGTTTAAGCTTAGGGAGTAAACTTTAGCATCTGTTTAAAATATATTAAGGAATATAATTTGTGCAGCATATTTTCAGAAGTATTTAATTTTATTAATAGACGATATAGTACTGGATGTAAGTGAATAATATATATAGCTCACATTCAGATGCCAGTTCTTTACACAAGATCGCATAAAAAATGCAGTGCACGCGTTGCGCTTAGTCATTGTTAACCATGAAAATGAACTTTATGACGTGATCCTTAAAGGTGATTTTACCTTAACGTCAAAGATCTAGAGCGATTTAGCGTCGTTTAGTAAACGCGTAGTCCAGCCGATACTAGGGCCGGCCGGTTATCGACAAAAAAATCTCAACACAACTCCGATCCGAGCTGAAATCTTTGCACCGCTATCAATGCCGACCGCGCAAGTCGTTAACCCATTAAACAAAAAGTTGCACGCTCTAGGCAGGCCGTGCGCGCCCATAAACCATGTCCACGTGTGCTCTGAATAATTACGGAGCCGGCCCAAGACTGGGTATCCGCGTGGCTGAATCACGAACACTGACGCAACGAGCCATACCTGCGAAGCTTATGTTCCAACAAAAACTGTCTGAATGTCTCACACGGCGCCCGAGGCATATGTTTCGCTACTATTAGCTCGGCTACTGTGCCTAGCTTGTGCACGGAGACCTTTATACCGCGATTTATCTTAAACACTCTTAATGGCGCAATTAATTACCGAACGAAAACACCCAAGTTGATCAGCGTTATCAGCTGAAGCGCGTCGGATTTGAAATATTGAAACTTTAACGCCTATCCATTACGTGGACGCGGATTCGGAATCCGGTAGCGGTCGGGTCGCCGGCCGATTCCATTCAGAGATTCTCTCCCGGGCGACGGAAATATCACGCTGCGATAAATTATTTACGACCTTAAAAACACTTAGATATAACGAAAATCCATTTCCATTCATGG